ACTCCCTGTTCGCGCATTTTCTGGCTTTTGGGCGGGAGTATGAGTTGCTGGAGGTCAAGGATATCAAGGGTGAACCTAACGCCCCCGTTGGAGTTGGCTTGCTTTGGGAGCGGTGGAAGGACTCAGGAATCTTGGAGGCTTGAATTTTTTCCATCGGGCGTATACCTTTTTCATAGCAAATGTAGCACAACTTATACCTCAAAGACATATGGCAAGAATGGATTGTGGAAGCAAAGCAATGACGAACGAAACGTAAATTTAAAACAAATGTTGAGCGATCCTAGATGCGTGCTGCTTGGTCCGAAAAGTTGAAAGCTTGGCTAAGTGTGGGTTGGCTGATTCGGAGACGGGAAGACTCCCGGGCATGCGCAGATGGACTAGCCATCTAAATCCCATAAAATCCCAAAAATGACAAAATAGTCGAGCACTATAGTACTAGACCAGCGACAAGGCCGAGCGTCGCCAACAACGCAGCATTGTTTCCGCTTACGATCCGAGCGCTGTTCCCAGTAGGTGCGGGGGAATCAGTTCCAGCCGCACCACTTGTACCTGTGGGGTTTGTCGTTGTGCCGGAACCTGCGGGAGCAGCCGCACCCATGGCCGTTGACTATGAAAATGATTGGTTTAGCTGAAGAAGAATGGAACTCGGAGCTAAGTACCTTGAAAGCAGCGAACGTCTTTTCTGCTGTGGGGTTGACTGCGAATACCATTCCTTTCGAGCAGTGACTAGCGAAAGGACGTTGGTCAGATATGGGGCGCGAAACACCAGGTTGTAGATAGACATACGGAGCTTGCTTGCAGAAGAACCAGAATGGGGTCTTGTCTGTAAAAGGTAGAAATACGCTAAGAGGATATGCGTTGGGAGCTATGGGATAACTGACCATCATCGATAGTGAATGACCATTCAGGGAAGGCTGTAGCTCCAGCAGGAACGGCTTGGAAGCCAGAGTCGATGACAGTGTTTCTGAGAAAAGCAGAGGTAAGAATTGGAAGGGCGCAATGGAGAGGGGGTAAACCGACAGAGGTTCACACGGCTTCGCAAAAGATGATTGCGTCACAGTCTGTTGAGATATTTTAGTGTGGTAGATCTGGGAGTTACTACTTTATTTTTAGACTGACGTGATTCTTCGCCAAGCTGTGGAATTGTTCAGTATCTTATACAAGAGATTGAAAGCACAGGTGCACCTACAATCGGAAAGCTATCGTGTCACCAGCCTTGGCGACGACACTTGAAGGGGGAGGATATATATAAACCGATCGACAATTCGATCGAGGGCTGTAGTATACCTTTCGGGGTTATAGGTGAGCCCTCCATTCTCCCCGACCAACACAGTGAAGTTCTCAGCGGCGACAACAGTGAACAGAGCAGCAGCGGCAATGGCAAAGAAACGCATTTTGGGGTAGAGTGCACGGTAATGAAGGAGGAAGTGGATTGAAATGAATGTGCTGGACACCTGAAAGAAGAGCCTATGCAAAATTCATGAGTTAGTGATAAATTTATGTAGTTTCGAAGGGATTTACGCTGCTCTTGACGGAACGGAGAACAAGGAAGTGGACGAAGGGGACAAAGAAGATGGGGTCTGAACGCGTTTTATGAGACACTACGTTCTTGGCGAAAGCCGTTGCCAAACAACCGCTTCGTTCGGAATCTCAATCAGTGCCTTTATTGCATCATATGATGTCTGGGCCCTAACAATGTCCTTCATTGCTGAACATGAACGCGAACCTGGTTTTGTACATGTCGTCCTCATTACTACTGGAAGCGTCGCATCCATCAAAGCCCCACTAATTGTCAAGGAGCTTCTAGGGGTCTGTACGCCATCGCCCTCTCAACTTACAGATTCGATGATTTATGTCATCTCCAGTATCAGAAGGTCAAGGTCGAAGTGGTCGCGACGAAACCTTCACTTGCCTTTTACACGAAGGAGGATATTAAAGAAGCAGGGTCTAGAGTATGGGTGGATGAAGATGAGTGGACTGTATGGTTGCCCCAGAGCAGATGGACACCCGACCAACTGGTTAATGTGTAGGGGACTTTCAAGATTGGGGACCCAATCCTCCACATTGAGCTCCGGCGATGGGCCGACATTGTGCTCGTAGCGCCTTGCTCTGCAAATACTTTGTCAAAGATAGCGCATGGGATGTGCGATAACCTCGTGGTATGGGTGTCAAGCGTGCAGTTTCTTCCCCCTGGTCTGATGCGTAAACTAGACATCGCTCATGCGCGCCCTGGCACCAACGACTCCGACTTACATATTCCCCGCCATGAATACCTTGATGTACGAGCATCCACTTACCGCTGAACATATCCGCATCGTTCGCGACACCGTCCGCTATAACGTCATTGGACCTATAGGCAAAAACCTAGCTTGTGGTGATGTTGGTGCGTATGGGTAATTGCCCAGTTCTTTTTGCGTTCGTTGACATCAGACCTTTGAGAAACAAATTATTGATGTACATTATCTTGCAGGTGTAGGGGCAATGACTGAATGGAGAGATATTGTCAAGGTCGTCGAAACACTGTTCCACCTTCTTCCAAAGACTCTGGCGTAACCCAAGGTATAGACATAGAAAGTATGTATATCTCTGAAAACTAAAGCAAGAATTACGCTCCCGCCTATCTGGAACTTGGTGTACAAAGATGCGGTTGCGCGACAATGATGCGCAACTCCCATAGCTGAGAGGTATTGGAATCAAAATGGCTGCTTGACTCGCACACTCACATACAAGTATAAGCCGAATGGCGAACAGGCTTAAGAGTATCTCATGTAAGTCACCTTGCTTCAGTAAGGTCACTGTCATCTCATTCACGCCTAAAAAGGCAGAATGTTCTGCATCATCTGAAAATAATAAGGCCAAACTCTGTAAAGTGACCTGTAATCCTCGCCCTCCCAACCCGCAGCGCCAACTGCAATGTCCGCTTCTAGTGCTCTCTAACCCGCCCCAATCATACTTGTTCAGTTACAGCCCCGCATTCCACCAGCCTTACCCAACTCGCCCGATGTACTTTTCTAAACTCAGATATCACATCACCGGTCGACGGCATCTCGATTTAGGCCCTGCGAGGATCCTTCTGGAGGGTGCACGGGAAGGCTACGGCGGCTAGCAATGGCGCGTACGGCGTGACTGGGCCGTAAACTAAGATGTCGAACATGGGAAGGTCCGTCCTCCGTCATCCTGTTTCGAGTTCCTCGATTTACCAGCTCGCCATCTCCAGAACACGCCCCTGCAACCTCACCTACGCTCTCCCTTAGCCTTCCGTGCGCCACTTCACCAGAAACTCAGTCAAAGTTCGAGGAAGACATATCCCCCGTGAGCACTACGCTATATTTTCTTTTCGTTCCCCGTTCTGTCTAAAAGGCCCTCTTAGGTCGAGGAGACCATCGATAATCGCATCACCGGTGTCCTGCCCAATGACAGCACCGGCAGTGGGATCCTTTACGGGGTGAACAGGAAGGCTATCGCGGCAGACTTCGTGCCACTAGGGCCGTAAGATGTCGAATGCATCATATGGGCAGGTCCGTCCTTATCCAGTTTCGAATTCCTTGATTTACATAGCATGGCCCTACAACAGCTCGCCTTCTCCTGAACATGCCTCTACGACTGCAACCACGCTCTCATTTACCTTCCATTCTCCCCATCACCAGAAACGCAGTAAAGTTCGAGAAATCATATACCCCATGTGCTCGCATGTCGAGGAAATCACCGAGTTCGCGTACAAGGGCATCGAAGCCAGGCGTGCAAAAAATGCTGGTCGGCCCCGCCTCCGCCGCGGATCTGAGTCCGAACTCGACCATCTACGTTCGTTGCGAATCGCAACTTGTCAACCACTGCCATGATGCCGACTTTGAGCGTAACTCATGGTCCGGCGCGTAGCCGAGGAAATGAAAGCCAATGTCGCTATTCAAGGCCTGCGATGGCGATGGCGGGGACGACATCTAAGGCTGTGTAGGGAAGGCGACGGAACAGCAGCGTAATGACCTGTCTGGGAGGAGGAGGAGGAGGAGGAGGGATGACTTTCTGGTACGTGCTCCCCACGATTCGGACTTCAGCTGGGGCTAAGTGGTCCCTTTTCGCAGGCGACCTTTCCCAGCTTCGAAAATATTCGTTGTCGTTCGGTCAGGGCGCCATGACCATTCTTTCCATCCTTCCGTTTTCGGCATCTTTCAGAACTTTCCTCCGGCGTCGGGTTCATGCGTCTCGACCTTCGAACGACTACAACATATATGCGAGTGGGGTCATCGAGGCAGGAGAGTGTCCTGAGTCCTCGAGCAATCGGGAAAGGGTGACGGTTACGGACCCTGGAGCAGAATGGCGTGGTGGGATCTTGGATCATGGTGGGAGGCAACATTGACGAATCAGTAGGGCGACATATATCACGATGTATGCTACCTTTTCATGCTGCCTTGTTGTCGGGTGCTTCAGACGTCGGAACGCTGGCACTCGACTTCGGCCCCATGACATGGGATTGCAGGGTGAAAAGATGCAGAAAGACGATGCTCCCCTCGGTGCCATTGGCATTGGTGCCATGTGCGGACATCGCCTGGGTAGTTGCGGTGACCAGAAGCGTCATTGACCACATATTAGACATAAAAACAGCTTGTTCCCTTATCTTACGAGTGCTTTCTGGGCTAAGGGACCCGGCCTCAAGCTGCTCCGTCTACCGCACCGCATGTCTGAATCAGCAGCCTGAAGCAATTTGTGAATTGGGAAGAATTATCCATCTACCTCTACACGACTTCTCGTTCAGTGAAGAGAAGCCGCAAATTACACGGAGACCCTCTATGCCCTGGAAAAGGTTGGTGGGGGATCAAAATGCATGACATGCTGTGGCTTGTGAGGACCAGTGCGGCGGCGTGTGAAGCAAGGTGTTCTGTTGACGGCGACGGCGACCGCTGGTACATATATGCCGTGACTCGTGAGTGGGAAGAGTGCATATGCAACGAGATTCAGAGTCCACATCAGACATCAAAAAAAATGGCGAGGATCGCACAACTTATAGCCCACCGCGAGGGTCGAACTCGCAGCCTTCAGATGACTCAAGCATGAGAATGCCTTAAAAGTCTGACGCTCTAGCCGATTGAGCTAGGCGGGCTCGTTAGGTCATTAATTAATAACACACTAATCTCAATCGAATGAAAGACTGACCGTTTCAAATTCTACAGCGGTAAGTTGGTCGCTGCCCGTCAGCGTCATTGGTTGCTCACGGAAGATGGGGGCTTACACGTTGAGATCGTTTTGTTCCTTGGTTATCCATAGACGCGAGATCTTGGAAATCGCCCCTGGTACCTATCATCGTGGAGCGAATTCAAAATTACCGTTGAGAAAGGAGGAGGATCGACTGTGCTTTGTTCTCGACCCACACTATGCCTGAGCCTTTGAGCATAGCACGGATAGGGAGTATGATTCGTGCTGGAAAAACTGTGTGTATGAGTCTCTGGAATCCGGCCCGACTAGTTAGAGTTAAGATGTAATTTATAGGCTAATGAAAATATTCACAGAATCTATGTACGCGCCGAAGACAGTCAAGCACGATCGAAGAATGACAGCAATGTCATCGCAATTGAATTAATTAGAGGTTTTGGCCAGCTTGTATCATGACCAGCTTTAGATGTTGACAGATGGACGCGTCGGGGCTTCGGGGCGGCGAGTAATAGACACTTCTACTAAATTGAGTCCCCTGGCGTTGGACATTCTCCAAGCGCCTCATGTCAGAAACTAAACCCTTCCAAGGACCCAAAAAAAAGTCAAATCACATTATGCAAGATTGGTATTGCCTTATCACTTCCTCACAAGCCCCCGGACGACCAAGCGCCTTTGTCTTTTTTGGTGAGGCGGGTTCGGAAGGTTTCTGGCCTTGGCACTAGCGGCCTGCCGACGGCGCTTGCGAGCTCGACGACTAGTGGAGAGGGCACTTGCGTCATGGGCAGATGGGGGACCGCCCTAGAAGCAAGGAGAATGTAAATATCATAACGGCTTTCGTATAATGTAGTACTTACCAGCTGCACTGGTGGCTGGGATTTGATTGTGGGCGGGGGCGGCGATGCGGGACACAAGCAACGACGGGCGAGCCTACGCTAGAAGGCAGAATTATATCAGCGTAAGCTCAGAAGCTAGATAATGAAGGAGGCTGACCTTGTTCCAGACGAGGGTTTCTCCGATAGTGGCGATGACAGCGAATATGGTTAAAAACAACTTAAACCAATCCACAGCTCGCAGGCCACTCTCCCATTGCTCAAAGGCGTTGATAGTTGGCGTGAGTAGTGAGTGCAGCGACCCTCGAGGGATGTTGAGAAGGTTTGCCAAGGCTTGGGTGGCGTCTTCCAGACTGAGCAAGTTTGCCTGGGCTTCACTGGATAGTTCGCTCTGAAGTGCTAAGCCCGAGATCAGACTCCCGCTCCCATTCTGGCTCCCCTCCCCGATCCAGCTACACCTCTTCTGCCCAACCCGACACCTGCACCCGTCCGATCCCCAACTCGCACCACGACGCCTTACGAGCCGCCCTCGTTGATCATCGCACCGACTCCAACGAGCCTCCAGTCTCCAATGGCTGCCGCTTCTCCGTTTCTCGACTTCACTTGTGGCTGGCGAGACGGCCGTATACTTTGGGTAGTTGGGCTGGACGACTACAGATGCAGGAACGGGGGATGGATCGGGGTCGTGGAAGGACCCAAAAATGTGACGGTTGGCGCAGGTGCGGGACGGGGTTTGAGGGACCGGCGAATGACGGGGACGTAGGAGACGGGACTGGTACAGGGCGCATTTGGGCGTGTTCACGGTGGGCTGACGAATGTGGAGAATGGTCGGGATGCTCAGGGCGGAATTGGGCATGCCAATGGTGGAGGAAAAGGCGCAGGCGAGTAAAAAAAGAGTGAGAAGTTTCATCTGGTCGAAGTCGATAGGTCTTGGTTAATGATAAAGGGAACCCAGATGGAAGGTTCGTAGGATCCTCCACCCCGAGAAGCTGACCATAGCCCGAATTAGACCTTAATTCAGTGGCTGACAGCTTGCGCTCTTGAGACGAACTCGAGTCCTGACTTTGATCGACAGTTGTTCTTTCGAAGCTGTGAGAAACGTCAGTAGTCCAAGTTTCAAGTGGAGGAGAATACGTGAGCTCAAGTTATATGTGAATGTCAAAGGAACGGCCCTCGTGATGGACAGTCTTGACAATATTCCTTATTCCTATATTCAATCCATATCGGATTAAGCATGATAGCGAGCCCTCGTTCACAGCCTCGTTAAGCCTCAGATCAGTCAAGACCAAGAACAAGCACAGTAAATTCGATTAGATGCTTCCTTCTTGCATCGGAAAGAGTTGCGATAAGACATGAGATAGGTAGGGGCACCGGTTAGTCTATGAGGAGGACTCCTCTTTTTTCGAGGACTCCGCTGCCTTCTTTGGTGGTATCCCTTCCTATATTAGCCATCAAAACCAGCCAGACTTTCAAATGCACACGAAGAAAATACGCACCTTCGCAGCTTTCCTGGCTTTACCCTGTTCAGTGGCGACGGTAGGGTCGTCAGCATCCGCAAAAGTCCCCCTCTTTTGCTTGCCATGTTCCGATTCTGGCGACGGCTCGTCCCTCGTGACGGGAACTTTAGGTACCGGTTCAGCACCAGACGGCTCTGCACCGTCGGCTTTGGGGACATCGGCAGCCTCCTGCTTATGACATCAGCGCTTGTCCTAGCTTCAAGAAATAATCCCCACTTCAGCTTGGAGAGACTCTGTGACGTCCTCCTCGGTGCCCTCGTCATCCTTCATTATAACCGGCTCCGGCTGCTTATCGGAGGTGGAGGTGGATGCAGCTACGGGTGGAGGCTTTACACCTCTGGGTGTTTCTGGTGCGGTCTCCTTGAGGCCGGCGGCGGCTACGGGGGCGGGAGCCTGTGCTCTTGCAACTGCTTTGGGGTCGGGGTCGTGCCCGGGGAAGTCATGGGCGTCGTTGTGGGCAAATTGCGTGGTTTTGCGGGCGGAAGGGGACGCGAGGTAGAGGAACTATAGGGAAAGTGTCACAGAGGGAGCCAATTCCAAGAGCAGGTTTGCTTACGGCGGGGCCAAATACGAGGGCGGAACCAATCTGGTTGTGATTGAAAAGTCAGGAGAGGTTGTGAAGGGAACGGCTATGAATGGCAACGCACGATCCAAGGCTTGTCCGATCTGGTCTTCGGGCCAGCATGTGACGAGTTCATGCGCCGGGCACCGGCACGGAACGTCGAAGCCGTCGGTCGCCGCAGCGACGCGCGAGCTGTTGAAGAGAGCGTTTGGCGGGCAGCAGCGAGGGACATGGTGGACTGGCTGTGGGACGTGGCGAAGTGCCGCCTTTTCAATTCACGGGTCAGACCGGCAACCACTGATGACGTGAATCATCATTGGCTCCAGAGTATTCCATGATCATAATCGACGTCGTATACTCTTCTTTCCCTACCATCTACTGCATAATCATGATAATGTGAAGGCGCCTCGCATCACGCGTCGACGGCAGCGTCACCTCACTCCCAGACCTACGGTGTTGATAACTGCGCCATGGACTTTGATTCGGAATGACGTACATTTCTCTCACGTCGTACGGCCTCGTACGGCCGCGTACGGCTCATGTGCTAAGATGTGCTAGCGACGCCCTACCAGTATGGCCATAGATTTGAAATCCCCGAACTAGCATCTCTTGGAATGGGGTACGTAGCATCTCGAACAGTTGACCGTTCATCTGTACGTCTTTCTCCCACGAATTGCAACAACTCAAAATCAAAGTCATACATCCCTTCGCATTGTACATTACACAACAGGTAACTCGAGCAGACCTTGCTTCCGGACAAGGTCGCGGAAGTGACTAGTCAGTACTCAGTTTCCATCGTTCCGGCACTGGTGTCCAAACAGATTTCAGAACCACAGTGAACATTGAGCGATACGTTGAATAAACTCACACAGACAGAAACAACTGTGCCACCGCAGTTCCCGGAGTTGGGATCCGTGCGACAAGCATAGCTGTATGATCATACATCAACACACGAGACACTTATAGCCGAATCGACTTCGTCCTACCGCCGTCCAGTGAAGGAGTTCATGTACTCGTTGAAAATGATTGGGGGCGGGCTGAATCCGAAGATGCCTTCGGTGCACGGATTCTGGTTCCTCTTCAGGCCATCAACGACAATACAGGAGTCGTCAAAGACATCCCCTTGAGAATGCGCATAGTGAGTCGTCAACGAAAACTTGACCCAGGTAGCACGTACAGCGGTTTATACCTCCACCGAGGGACCTAACGTTGCCGATACCGTAGTTGAATCCCGGGCAGATAGCTTGGACACCGATGGCAGCGAGAGAAACGGATACGGCGATGGCTTTGTAGAGCATGGGTGAGCAGACATTAGACTGGAGGGTGACTGGGAGTTTCTGTGTAACAGAATGAAAAATTAGAGCCGTTTTACGAGGGTTTTTATACTCGTCCGAGGCTTACAACATGCGATGGAATCGTGGCGCTCAAATATGGCCGGCACTTTCTGTCCGTAATCACCAATGCTTCCCACCAGACCTCTTTGCCCACAGCTCCACGAATCGGATACACGGCGAGAGTGGCGTCCTGGACCCAGGTGCGGGATGTACGGAATGCATGACGCCAGATACTCTGTCACACAGACCAGGCATTCAGCGAACGAGAATACGAGAGTGGCGCAAGTTGCGCCGCCCTGCTGAGCAGCCTTCCAAGACTTCTCAGTGCCCTTTGTGTGGCACCACGCTCATGCCAGCTAGTACTCAAGCACTGTGAACGCAAGGCAATGAACGATTCTGCGTGTTGCGGCCGGCAGGATGGGCGTCTGAAAAGCTCCACGGCGGCAGTATCAACAAAATTTATTCCGGATATAGATGCAATGCTTGCTCCTCATTGCATCGCGCAACAAGAATTCGGGTGCGACGGGGAACAATTCAAAATAGCAATGTTGTAAGACGTATCAAGAGCTGAGTCATGGGAGGAGTAGCTGCGGAAGGACGCCCATATCATAGGTGTTTCAGAGCCTAGACAGGCATAGGGGATCGCTCAAAATGCGGCCATCGTGCTGTTCTCATGGCAGATGATCTTCTTGAGCGGTCAAGTGCGT